TCAGGTAGATCATCTAAAACTCTTTGGATAGTTCAGAAATAAACAGGGGACAGTTGCTCTCTGGTTATTAGAAAGTGTGGTAGTGCTCGGCATTCAACGGTAATTTTGAGATCTACTCCTTTTATCTACTGACCATTAGAGGGCCATTCTTTCATTTTCCTAAATGTGGTCAGGACACGATGAGGTCTGGGATTGAATTTGATGGGTGTGAACGAAGCTCATGTCTCAAGAAAGGAGCATTAGTGTTGCAATGCATACTGAGCGAAATGCTTGAAATGGTGAAAGTGACCGCGGAACAGATGGACGTTATGAGAGGGACCATGGCGTTGAAAGGTCTTACGTTGACAAGACTACACAGGGAAAGTGACCGAGAGGTCTAATGTGACACAAGAAAACCTGACGAAAATCTGAGTCACTCAAATAAAAAGTAGCAGACAATGTTTACTGTGCTCCATGGCATTGGCAGCTGTGCAGGCAGAAAATTATGAATTTTCTTAATTAGTCAAACAGATGCTACTAGTTAGTGGAGAAGGGTTTCTGGTTAATTGTTTTAGCTGCACCATATCTAGGATTACTATCATTTTGATAATTAAGGGGCTAATTTTCGTTGTTGACAGCTCCGACATAGAGCGCGCAGAAGTAGCTAGAGAGGAGATTTGCTCACTCGCACGAGAACCAGAATTACAAGGTCAGTTATCGTATTTATAGCAGTACAGTACTCGCCGTTTGAAATCGAAAATTCACGCGAATAACGCGAATCCTCGTTAATTTCGTGAATTCGTTATAACTCGGTTCAAAATTGAGATTTTCAAAATCTGAAAAAAGCGTTGAACTCAGCTCGTCGAGTTCTATAAGAATATGCTTTAAACTTTTAAAAAGCCCTACTTCAGATTGCGCCATGCACTCGAGCTTTGGCTCGAGAAAAAATTGTTTGAATGTGGTGCGCATATAATCCCGCTTATGCATCATGATCTTTCTTCAGAGAGATGGGTCTCAGTAGTTGCTCCAGAACGCGCCGCGTATTCAACATGGTCCATTGTATTGTGAATGGATCGATTGCTTTTTTTCAGATTTCATGGTCCCTATTCCATAGCGGCGCGTTAAATGACTCAACATGTACATGACTGCGCTCAACATCTCCTCCTCTCGTGTTCATCGTATTTTTAGCAGGACAGTTAGCCTATTTGGTGAAATTTTCCAATGTTTGAGCGAAGGTTTTTCCGAAATCTGAGGGGGTAGCGGGGAAATTCCTTCACAGTTGTAGAGTACGCTTACTTGTGTGTAGGAATAAGATCACACAATTGCTTGCAGATGACCGCTCCCTCCGTGCTGCGGCCGTGAACATGCCTCCTCGTCATGCCCTAGCCTATTTGGTGAAATTTTCCAATGTTTGAGCGAAGGTTTTTCCGAAATCTGAGGAGGTAGAGGGGAAATCTCTTTACTGTTGTAGAGTACGCTTACTTTAGTGTAGAAATAAGATGATACGCTTGCTTGTAGACGAGCGCTTCCGCCGTGCTGTATTCCTACACAAGTAGGTCTCACAGCTTGTGAAGGATTTTGCCCGTCCCCCTCAGATTCGGCAGATAATTCGCTCACAATTGAAAATTCACAATGGCTACCTGTTCGCTGACATGGATCTATATGAACACGCGAGAGGAGGAGTTGTTGAGCGCAGTCATGTACATTTTGAGTCATTTAACGCGCCGCTATGGAATAGGGACCATGAAATCTGAAAAAAAAGCAATCGATCCTTTCACAATACAATGAACCATGTTGAATACGCGGCGCGTTCTGGAGCAACTACTGAGACCCATCTCTCTGAAGAAAGATCATAATGCATAAGCGGGATTATATGCGCACCACATTCAAACAATTTTTTCTCGAGCCAAAGCTCGAGTGCATGGCGCAATCTGAAGTAGGGCTTTTTGAAAGTTTAAAAGCATATTCTTATAGAACTCGACGAGCTGAGTTCAACGCTTTTTTCAGATTTTGAAAATCTCAATTTTGAACCGAGTTATAACGAATTCACGAAATTAACGAGGATTCGCGTTATTCGCGTGAATTTTCGATTTCAAACGGCGAGTACTGTATAACTCAGAAGGGGCGGAAGTGGGTAAGAGGCCGCTACCACGCGAGGGTACGTGTTCAATCCTGGGTCGTGCAGTCGCACGGATGCACAAGCTTTTAATCCTCCGGGTCGGTTAGTTGGTACCAGACTTGTCTGGGAGGATAAAAACACTGACTTGAACATCGGCTGGCCCCCGCAAGTCATTGTATAGGCCACATCGCATTCAAACGCCACTGCGAATGTACAAATGGAAGTAGAATGCGTGCCGCATCCCAAAAGGGATTGATCAACGGCAAATGCTTTATCCTTTTTTATCCTTATAACACCAAAGTGTAACATAGTGTGCGTCAAAAGGGTCGATTCGATCTTCCGGGAAATTTTGACTGGGGAAGCAGTGTTGCAATCACACATTTTCTTGACGGATCGCGATTTAGCTATGGTGCGAAAGGGGGGGGGGTGGTGGGGCTTTGTGTAAATCTGCCTACGCTCAATGACAGTGTTGTGTGATTGTGTAAATCTGCCTCGTCAATGCAGTGCTGGGTGATTCCCAGGTTGCAAATCATGTAGCGTTGCAGCGGATCGTACGCGCTCACGTCATTCGAAGTACTACACTGGTCCATATTATCACTCCACCTAAAAATTTCCCAAAATCTCAAAAATTGAAATGTATAAGAAAAAGTCTGCATGTGGCATTGTAGCAAATACAAATACGAAAATTACCTATATAAACATCAACTTCCAACTTGAGACACCAGGAATTTTTTCTAATAATTTTTGGTTAGAGAGGCCACTTAGCGAGTGCCGATTATAAGCACTCATGTTTTTCTATTTATTTTCAATTCTGTTTCGCCAAAAAAAACCTGTTTTTTTATGTGACTAATTGATACTTCTACAGGGGCAGTAGTTGATAGAAAATTGCTGTTCTGACTTTTTTAAAAGGTCAGTGTGCAAAAACTGTGTTAATACGCTTTACGCCGATTTGGACCTAGATTCACGCCAGCTCGAGTTTCTTCAGAGCGTCATAACGGTAATGGAACTAGGGAGAGCTCGTTAAATTGATTTTCGATGGAAATTAAGGCCGTGCCACAGAGGAAACATTCGTTTTTAGTAAGCCGTGCTCTGACATCGAATCTTCTTTGAAACTTAATGTCTCAACGGAACATTGTTTCTTGCTTGCGAACGAATCCCAAGTCGATTCTTGAGTGGAAAACTTAGAAGGCATCATCTGTGGCAAGAAACCATTGCGAAAATCGGGCTGAGTTTTCCATGAAGGTGCATCGGAGCTGACTGGAGTAAGGTTTGCTTTTACTTGATATGTTGTAGCATTTGTTTGTTTTTCTTTTCGTATCTTTCTTATCCTTAGCAGCTTTTCTCTTCGCGAAACACTACCAGGAGAAAGGAAATGGCGAAGAGAAAAACAAGGCTGAAATGTAGTAAAAGCAGAACATTTTGGCCAGTCCAGCTCCGATGACCTTAATGAAATTCTCAGCCCGAGCTTTCGCCAATGCCTTGTTCTTGCCACAGATGATGCATTAGTACGTTTTCCACTCAAGAATCGACTTGGGATTCGTTCGCAAGCAAGAAACAATGTTCCGTTGAGACATTAAGTTTCAAAGAAGATTCGATGTCAGAGCACGGCTTACTAAAAACGAATGTTTCCTCTGTGGCACGGCCTTTGTTTCTATCGAAAATCAATGAGAGACCTTTAGAGCTCGTAAGCTCCTTATCGTGTAAGACCTCTGAAGAAATTCTTGAGCTTGGCGTGAATTTGGTCCAAATCTGGCGAGAAAGCGTTGTTCAACAGTTTTTGCGACGAGCTGACCTTTTAAAAAGTCAGACAGCATTTTCTATCATACTGTCCCCTTGAGAAGTAGGATGTTAGCACATTAAAAAAGTTTGGCGAAACGGAAGTGAAAAATAATAGAAAAACATGAGGTGGAGTTATAATTTTGGGACGTCGGCTAAGTGGCCTTTTAACAAAAATTATTAGAAAAAATTCCTGGGGTCTCAAGTTGGAAGTTGATGTTTATAGGTAATTTCGTATTTGTATTTACTACAATGCTACATTGCAGACTTTTTCTTACACATTTCAATTTTTGAGATTTTGGGAAATTCTTAGGTGGAGTTAATTATGGACGCGTGCTATAATGGTCATAGCGGTAATGTAACGGGTCTGTCAGCCGGTCACCAAAGGGCTCGATTTACCCTTTTTGAGGACATGTCTCTGCATGGAATACAGGTTGGCGAAAAATTACGGGCGCCACGAAGAGTATCCTGACTTTATTTTTGTTCGTATACAAGGAAAGATAAAACCGTTGTGAGTCTGCTTCCAGAGCACCAGAGCTTTCTTGAAGACCATTTCATGATGTGTCTTCGCATTGATTTCCATGATTTTATCGATAAAAATCAATGAAGGGTTGCCCAAAGCACTGATACTGCTCCAAATCATCAAACTTTCAGCGAACGGAATTCTTGCAGGTATTTTCCAATTACAAATGTTCCCAAGAGTTGAGCAAAAAAGTTGATGGTGATTTAGGAGTTTTAGCTGCTTAAATGGGAGAATTTTTTCGTCAAACCAGACGACTCTCCAGCTCCGCCGCACCATCGACTCGATGTCGAAACTAATTCAGATCTATATCAAAACTCACTTCGCTGCTTTTTTTTATAATTATTGAATGTTAGAGTTTGCTGTTTTATAAAATTAGTTTCCTTCGAATTTTCATGGACCAGAAATGAAGTTAGGACGTTTTTATGGCGCAGTAAAAAAAGGAAAAGAATCTGTCGAAAACACCTAGGTTGACTTCTTAATCACTCTGGTACAGCGGCTGTGCTAAGGCAATGAGAGACGGAGCGTGGAGAAGAGAGTGTGGCTTGAGAGACCACTGCATATGAGAGGGACAGAACAACAGCCTGCCGCGGACGGGAACGTGCTGCAGCTAATTTTGTGGGGCCCTGCAGCCCTTGCTGGGAGCGTTCCATGAGTGCCTATGATTATGATTATGACTCTATTATGATTCTACTCCATGTTCCTACATACAGATCGAAGAGTCGATCACATGACTTCTATCTCGGTAATGCAATAATTAAGGATTGAGTGGCACAGTATCATTCTCTGTAATTTGTGTCGGTGATGGGCCATACATTTGAAGAAGTTGTGACAGCTGAAGCTGTTACTGGAATAATTTTACCCTTGTTCTAGATGTAAAGTTGTTGATATTCGCCAACAAGCAAGACCTTCCGAACGCTATGACAACAGCGGAAGCGATAAAAGCGCTTGGACTGGAGGCAATGAGGGACAGAGAGGTGATCAAGTTCCTTGTATGAATGAATATTATCCTCTCTCATGAATGTACATTTTTAGTGGCACGTCCAGCCGACAAATGCCGTCACTGGTGAGGGTCTAATAGAAGGTCTCGAATGGCTCCACTCTGTTGTCATCAAATAAGTGAATGGATACTGATGACCAGTGAAAATGCGGAGATCGCGAGACTTGAAATTTCGGCCGCTACGACTTCTCGACTTACTGTGCCATTCTTTTTGTCGAATTTTTTCAGATGTCCATTAATCTCTATTATTAATAGGAAGCAGTATGTGTTGTTGTGCGTGTGTCTTTGTCTTTGTCAAATTAAACTTGGACTTGTTTTCATGACTTCTGCTGTCCAAGGAGCGTTATGAGGAACTGCATGGAATTTATCGATGACCCTTCAGGCGGTCAGTAGCAGAAAAGCAACTGTACAGGTAGAGCTGCGGTTGGTTAAAAAAAAACTCTCAACTCTCAGACACTGCTAGCCACTTCACAGGATCCATTGAGTTTTTCAATCTGCCTTCATCACCTTTTGTTGCGGAAGATCGTACTGATTCGCGTGAAGTTCCTCAGATCTCCCGACTCGTCACTGTGCTACTTCTGAGTTCAGCTTCACTGGTATTTGGATTAAGCGTGTGTTCACGTAATGTGTTTCTGTTGTAAAGAAACATTTGATAATATTAGATATTTAAATTCAAAATTTCTTTGAATATAACGGTGACATCCGAGGAAACCAACCTAGTTGGGAAGAAATAGTTATTAAAATAAGGAGCTCAATCTGAAGAAGGTGACAGTGTTTTTTTCGTTTCATTTGAGAAACCGAATTACGATTAGTTGCGATAAGTGGCCCACCTTACGACTGCGTACTGATGTGTTTTGATCTACAATTTCAGTGGAGTAGTGGGGCCTGCGGTTTAGTTAGATTGTTTCAATACTTTTAGACTCCGAAGGAGGCGATTCCGCTGAATGGTCAGCCATGAAATATAATAACATTCGCGTGAAGAGTTTAGCAGCATATTTACTACTATATCAAGCCGAGGTTTCTGAAAAAATTTTATATGGTCATTTGCGAATAGTATAACAGCTCAATAACTTGGTAGATTAAATCTTCTGCGTGATTATAATTATAGCGAGCGATGCTCGCTAGTGAGTACCTCAGGAATTTTTAATAATTTTCACGAAAATGAAGAAAGGCGTTTCACAAACCTTGGGATTAGTCGTTAGCAGATCTCTCAACGCTGTTTGAATCGAGAAAGCCACTTTTCACAAGCAAAGGCAACCAGGATTACTCCGTCGCATGAGCATCGACTGGGTAGGAATTAATGGTTCAAAAAGGTGTTTCATGGCTAGTCGACCTCTGATGTTTACGGACGCACGAGCTGAAAGTACCCACAATGAACGCATTAGGACTCCATTCTGTCAAACGTTGGTCAAGTCAAATGTTGATGTCCAAGCCTTGCCCCTTTTTATGAAAGTTCGACTCTTTCGTGTCTCAACAGTGAAGGAGGTGAGCCAAAACGTGGAATTGTGAAGAGCTTGCGGAAAAAAAATCGATAGGAGCACATCTTCTCACCGCTCCCACCTTACGCGTGTTAGAAAATTCCATCTACCAAGTTACTGAGCTCTCACACTGTTCGCAAGTAATCATATAGTTTCCGAAACCTCGGCACGATATAGTGGTCAGTATTGTGCTGAACTCTAGTATCGCGATTGTTATTTAGACTTTCATGACTGACGATTCGGCGAGATTGCCTTCTTCACAGCTTAAAAGATTTGAAACAAAAAATTGTGAATTAGTATTGATACTAAATAGTATCAATACTAATTCACACGCCCACTACTTCAACAATCTGGATCAAAACAGATCATTACGCAGTCATGAAGTGGACCACTTATCGTAACTTATGTAGTTCGTTTTTGACAAAACCCTGAAACAGAAACCTCGGCACGATAT